ACAGGAACTTGTTTGTATTTAAAAATTGTAAACATGTATAAATTTTTAATTGGACAAAAATGGAAGTTTATCTCTCGACAAGTAAAAAATAAAGTAAACGAAAGATTAGCTCATTCTACTAAAGTGAAAAGTACACAGAAAAAGCACAAGTATTCGGGAACCGTTTTGCTACCGCAAACTCAGTTTCCATTGCAACTTAATAAAGAGGAAAAGATGAAGAGTGATCAGTATTTAACCACGGTAAGTAATCTTAAGACGATGTATGATCTTATCGGTTCTCGTGATGTTCACTTTTGTTAATACACGTTATATTTGTATTGTGTTACATTTAAAAGAATTTCTTTTTCTTTACAGAAATGTGGTTTTTCTGAATTATACGAATGGCAAAGGAACAATTTGCGTGAACCAGATTTTATTTTACACGATGGACCACCGTACGCTAATGGAACTCCACATATGGGACATGCTATCAATAAGGTGCTCGATCATTTTTCTATGTCTACATTGCCTTTGTCTAATTTTACTTTGTTACTTTACAGATTCTTAAAGATATCACGCTGAGGAATAATATTATGCAAGGAAAACGTGTTCATTATATACCAGGTTGGGATTGTCATGGATTGCCTATTGAATTGAAAGCTGTTCAAGATGTTAACGTGCAAGATCCTTTAACAATCAGACAACAAGGTCGAATTCCTATGCATTACTAATCGATTAATTCAGTTTTATTCTACTCTTTTTTAACAATTCTTAATAATTTTTAACATTCACAGCTCACGAGTATGCAGAGAAAATTGTTAATCGACAGAGACGAGCTTTTCAATCGTGGGGTGTTACGGCTGATTGGAAAAAATCTGGGTGTTACTTTACAAATCAATCTTCGTATATAAAGAATCAGCTCCATCAATTTATAACATTATACGAAAAGGGTATCGTATTTAGAGATTTCATGCCAGTCTACTGGTCTCCTTCTTCTAGGTGGGTTGGAACGTTGTCAACTGTATCTGTAAACATTGTAAAATTCTTTCCATGTTTTCATATTGTAGAACAGCACTGGCAGAATCTGAATTAGAGTACAACGAAAAGCATCAAAGCAAAAGCGTTATTGTACGTTTGCGCATCGATGAGTTTCCTAGGACGTTGAATTCGTTAAAAAATCGTATTGTATATGCGCTTACATGGACCACAACTCCTTGGAGTTTAATAGCTAATCAGGCTCTTTGTTTTGCAACGAATGCTACGTACTGTGTCGTCGAAGATGTGAAAGGAAACTGGAATATCATTGGAGAAGATTTATTAAAAAATGTCGAATCAAAGATCGGTCCTCTGAAGACGATAACACGCATCGAAGGTAGATTCGATTGTTTGTCTAGTACGTGAAAAGTGGGTAATTGAAGTAAATAATGGAATAATATATGTGTAACTGGCATCAATGATCAAGGTAGGGAATTAGAGGGAACCACGTATTTTCATCCGTTCGAGGAGAAAACATTACCGTTCTTACCTGCGCAACACGTGACGTTGAATTTGGGAACAGGCTTGGTACATACTGCCCCTGCACATGGCCGGGAAGATTTTTTAGTCGCGTTGGATAATAAAATGCCTGTCGTGAGTGACTCAGTAATTGCATTAATCGTATCAAGAAGATGTTTAAGACTAACTATTTCTGGCATGGGCTGTGTAATCATTAATATCTTGTACATCTTATAGGTGTCCATGGTAGACGCGGACGGTCGATTCACGGAAGTAGCTGGTCCAGAGTTTCATGGACTGAGTGTATTGACAGAAGGAACAGAGAAAGTTTTACACTGCTTAGAGAAAGATGTGTTACATGTCGAAATGTATACACATAGTTATCCTTACGATTGGCGAACGAAAGAACCAGTAATTATTCGTGCTTCCAATCAATGGTTTTTCAATATAAATTCTGTGAAGGATAAAGCTCTCGTAAGGCCTTTTCTATCTTTTTTTACAAGAGTTGTCCGTACTTTCTGTTAGGTTCATCATAATTATAGTTTCGATAATTTCACTAAATAATGAAATATTATAACGGTGTGTCTATCATGTTTATATAAGGACTGTATCAAGGACATAGTCATATATCCCGAATGTAATCGTGCATCGTTTACAAATGCTTTGATCGCTGGAATAAAAGATCGACCATATTGGTGTATCTCGCGACAACGTTGTTGGGGAGTACCGATACCTGTGGTTTATAGTAAAACAACGGGTAAACCGTTTACAAATAGGTATGTTATATATATATATAATTTTATCAACATTTATGATCGTATTACCGTTTTTCTTTCAATTAGCGTTCCTCGTATTACACGGTTTTAGAGCATTAGTCGAGCGTCTGTGTCATTCGATCGACGAGTACGGTCCTGATTGTTGGTGGAAGTATTCGGAGGAAAAGTTGATAGGATTGGATGCGATTAAGGAGATGAATGTTCCACCGGATGATGTAGAGAAAGGAAAGGTGAATTTTTCAATAGAAGGTTATACGTGCCTTAAATTTCCTGTATTTCGATGTCGTTTTCAACAGTGCGAATATTTCTTAGGATATTCTGGACATTTGGTTCGACAGTGGTATATCGTGGTCAGCAGTTTTACCGGAAGGCAAAGCGAACCTTTATTTGGAAGGATATGATCAATTCAATGGTTGGTTTCAATCATCTTTGATAACATCCATAGCTTTGCAAGGCTGCCCACCTTATCTGTAAGCAATACTCGTAATCGTAATCATAACAATAATAATAATAATAATAATAATAATAATAATAATAATAATAATGAAGCAATTCGAAGGAGGTACAGTTTGCAATTTCATCGCAACGCTTCATTGTAATGTATTTCTACATTAAAGTTGTCTGTATTCCAGCACGCTGTACGTGCATGGTTTCGCAACCGATGAAAACGGTTCGAAGATGTCTAAATCTATAGGAAATGTGATCGATCCCGAAGACGTTCTCCTAGGTGGATCAAATTTGGAGGAAAGCCCGATCTATGGTGTCGATGTTTTAAGGTGCCACATTTAACAATTCGAAACGCTTTTACTTATACGATATTCGTTAACTGACCAGCTTATATGATATTCGTTAAATTTGATAAAGATGGTGGGTGGCTAGTCATGGATCTCAGCATACGCAAGTACCCGTTTCGAAAGCATTACTCGATGGTTGCGAACAATCTATTAATAAATTACGCTCGATACTGCGTTTTCTTTTGGGTGCTTTGCATTCGTACCATCCAGTTATGGACGGTGAAGCAGACTATCGAATTATCGACAAGTATATGCTGTACAGACTATATCGTTATAACGAACAGGTATCGAGCTTTTCCAATATATTTTCAATGTTAATGGCTTCAACAGTGTCATCGCGTTACAATGGGATTTTCTCTCTTATTAGATGCTGCAACATTACGACAATTACAATTACCATCATGCGAGTAAAACCGTTCTAAACTTTGTAACAAACGACGTGTCAGCTTTGTATTGTTTCCTAATAAAGGATAGACTCTATTGCGACGAGGCGACATCGCCGTCGCGTGTCGCGGTTCTACAAGTTCTAAGAGGGACTTTGACTGTACTTTTGAGAACTCTAGCCCCGATTGTTCCACACCTGGTGGAAGAAGTATGGTTACATCACCCAGATAACCGTGATCAAAGTGAAAGACCATTTTGCCACAACACGTACGAGATACCCGAATCTTGGAACGACACGGGTATCGCAGAGCGTATAGATGCGGCGTTTCGTGTGAGGAAACAAACCGGAAAAATGGCCAAGGGGGCTAGGTGGAAGTTATCTGTTACTATAAAAGCTACAAAAGACGATTTCCCGTGGCTTTCCGTAAGTATAATCGAGTTTAAAAAGGAAATTCGAATTCGAATTCTTCTAATCTATTAAGTTCTAATTTACGTTGTTCAGCTTCTACACAATGAAGAAGAAAAATCGACGTCGGAATTGTGCGAAATTTTGCAAGTGTCTTCGATAACTTTGATCGAAGACGAGGGAATCACAGAAACGCAAGTTGAAGCGAAGAATATCAAAAGCGTATTATGCGAACGATGCAGAAGGTATCCCGAAGCTCGAAAAGACGGCTTGTGTTTACGTTGCGCTAGTATACTTAACAAAGGCGAATCGAGGCCCGATGATCGTATGATCCTATCGTAAAACACAGGTATTTTCATCTTTCATCTTTCATTTCTTCTTTCCTCTTCCTTCTTCCTTCTTCCTTCTTCTGTGTTTCATTTTACTTTACTTTATTAATTAATCGTTAACTTACAATGAAAAATATAATTTACACGAAGAAACGTAGAATGAAACAACGCGGAAGACCAAAGATATGATAGGTTACAAGTCGGAAGGTCCTATAGAAGAACTCCGATGAGATTTTATGGTTAAATCGTACAGATGATTGATATTAAGGGCATTTAAGAAATGCATTAAATGCGGCTGATAACCGCTGGTAGCCAGTTTAAACGCGACATGCGCCATGTATGCGCGTAATTCGCAGAACGCTTGATACATTTGTTCCAATCTTTTAAAATTTGGATGCACGTATCCGGTAGACTTCATAGTCCATGTTTGAGATCGCAATCTATTATGGAACTTTAAGATAACTTTGAATATATTGTTTAAACACAAGCGTACTTTTTCACCGCGAGCGTTCAGCATACATCTGTAAAGAGAAACGCGATAAGTAAGGCGAATCACACTGTGTGTACTCGTGCGTGTTTAGTAGCGATAGAGGAATCGTTTCTTACCTCGAAAGTATTCGTTTTATATAATTAACGTGCGATAAATAAATTTGATCTAAAGTCAAGGAATTTTCCAAATCTTTTTCGAATTCAGTCCAACTGGCATATAAGACGCTGCATGTTAAATAATTATGCAAGGCGTTCATAAATTGCGTCATCGAATGTCTATACAACTGCAACTGTAAACAGTTTGATTGTGAAGAAATTTGAAGTGTGCTTCGTTCTTGAAACGAAACGCATATCAACAGTACCTTGTGGTACTGTGACGACGATGCAAGTGTTTTACGTTCTCTTTTCATCATGTTGAAATCTTCTTGCAACACCCATGATACCCGACCGCTTGTTATTAAAAATTTAAATACTTTACCATACCGTTGCATAACTGGATCATCGAATATAATGTTCAGTGGCCAAGTTATCTTGTAATTCAACGAAAGACAATCCAGCGTGCCAGGATCGGACATCTGCGAAACGACCATAAGCCAGAGAACGATATCTCTTAAGAATGTAAAGTTGAAAATGAAAGAAAATGAAAGAAAACGAAAGAAAACGAAAGAAAACGAAAGAAAACGAAAGAAAACGAAAGAAAATGAAAGAAAATGAAAGAATGGATGAGAGAAGAAGAGGAAAGCTGAACGATGCAAAGGATTAACTTACGTGCAATTGTATCGGTGCGTTTGTCGCCGAAAGACCAAGAAGCTCCGAATTCACGTAAATGCTATTGAACGAATTGACAAGAGCTCGTTCCAAAAGATTCGTTAACGTGGCAGAATTAAATAATTCAATGGGTAACGAGATCTCGTATAAACGAGTGTACAGAGAATCTGTCAGGCTCTTTGCAAATTCTCCGTTCAACAGAAAGAAATAACTTCGCAGACTGTGTAAATGTAATAACAAATTGTTTTCTTCTACAAAATATTTAATAATTGCACTATTAACGAGTCGACTTTGTACTTCAAGAGGGATGCGAATTGACTTCTCGAGATAAGCTTGAAGGGAACTATGATCGATTAATTCGATATCAGCAACGGTTAAAGAAGTTGTCGTCGACGATGTCACGGTTGGCGGTGGTTCGTCCTGTTGCAATGCAAATATGTCGGAAAAGGTTGCATCTTTCTTCATGGCTGTAGGCGATTTCGTAAGTGTACGAGAATTACTGGACAACATGTCGATACTTGAAACCTCGATGGGTGACCGATCTTCCGAATGGTGAATTTGCGATACAGGACTTTGCACCGATGATGTCAAATTGTCTGTCGTACAAGACATGGGTGTTTCTAAATCGTTTCTTTCGTTTGCACCAGTATCGAACCTATCGTCGTCGGCGTTGTCAACGATGTCTCTTGGTAAATCATTTGTATCGGTTGCAATCCTTATCCTTCGTATGTCGAGTTCGTTATTATTTGGTGTCATGTTACCTTCCAAAGACCAAGCCGAGTCCTTGTCAACATACGACTGTATCGCTGCTGCATTATCAATTTTCACATTCAATACGGTAGGTCTTTCGATCGTAACCGTTGGCGTGATGTAAGGTATCGTCGCGTACAACTGATTAGTATCCGCAACGATGGCTGTTTTCATTTTGGCCTCATCTCCCGACGGTTTCGATATATTTTTCTCTATTGACTTTTCTATTCCTCGATTGTTCGAAAGAATGCAGAAATTGTTTTCCTCGTTGTCGTCGTCGTCATTATTGTTGTTATTATTGTCGTTGTCGTTGTCGTTGTCGTTGACGTTATTATTGTTGTTGTTGTTGTTATTGTTCTTCCTGTCGTCGTCGTCGCCGTAGTCGCAGTCGCCATTGTTATTGTTACTCATCGTTATGATCGCACAATTTGCAAACTGATCTTGTTGCTTCGAATTGTCTCGATCGGTTCGTGAATCGAGTAACTTGGGAGTTACTACGAACTCTGTATCAACAGTTCTTCGGCAAGACGTCCTCGCATAATTCTTATTTTCGTCTTCGAACGAGATTGGAATTTCTGTTAGAAGACACGAGCCTGACACAGGGCCTTCTTGTTGCTCTTTCGATTCTTTTCCATCTTGTTTAATTTTTAATTGATGCTGCAAATTTTGTTTCGTCGAAGATAATACGTCTATTCTCTTGTGAAAGAATGCCATTCTTTTGGCACGCCATTGAGAACGCATGCAACGTTTCTCAATGTCGAGAGTTAGATTCTCGTAGTAATTCAAAATATTTGTTCTGTAACAAATGTAAAATTCATTTCCGGCTGGGATCGTCTATGAGAAAGAAAGTAACTTTAAAGAGATCGATAAATTGGCAAACCGTTCAACAGGTCGTAAGTTTTCTTGTAACGCGCAAGGAAATCCATCGGACAGTTCCTCCTTTTCCTTCTTCTGTTTCTTATTCTTCTTATGCGCTTCGATAACCGAACACTGTTCTTTCAGATTTGTCAGAAAATCGCGCTTCGTTTGCGCTATTTTCTTTAATGCAGCTTCTCGTTCTCCTAAAAACGATACAGCAATACTGTCTCGTGAATCCCAGCAATTCCGTGAATGTTTTCGTATTGAAAGCTTACCCTTGATTCTCGTCAGTGTATCGTGTTGAGCGCGAACAACATACTCGGCCATTTCTTTTTCCATTTGCTTTTTACTCTGTATAGCCATCGACAGAGAAAGTATCGGGCCAAGGGCAGATTTACCTTTTTCTTCGTATTTTCGGTATTTCAAGGACTGTTCGTACAACGCGGTTACACTCAAGCAAACTTTCACTTCGGGTTGTTCGGTCACGCAAACATGGCACACGGGATTCTGAAGCCTCGTTTCGAGATCAGTATGATAATGGATAATTGATCATTGAGAAGAATTGACAGTACAAACGATTGTAGTTATACGATTTTTCACGTTATCCTGTACAACTACTACAAGTGTAGAACGCATACCTTCGCATTACAAACTCGCAGAAGTCTGACTGTTTTGCCGCATTGGAGAATCGATTCTGATAAACCGCTTAAGAAACCAGGAATCGCTTCGTTTCGAACGATGAATGTTTTTGTCCAAAATTTATAATCTCTGCTGCGTAGGTATTGCGGTCGGGTTTTAATCATAAATTCTCCGTAAACGTCATCGCATATACCCTCGAACATCCACTTTTGCAGAAACCTGTTCGAAGAAATGATTCGATTACAATGCATGCAGAATTGTCCGACCGCTGACTCGTCTTATTCTTCATTGAACGGGGTATAGGTACCGAAAGTAAACCTCGCAACAAGACTTTAAAAGAGAATAAAACACCAAGGCGACTTTGGTATTTGTCAGTTGAATCGCTTCATTGTAAATTCTAGCGATAATACTGCTCCCTTCCCGAAGTGTACATTGATTTCCTTTGTAAGGTTCGCACAATTCGGCAACTTTGGTGATCAGGTCGGCTACGGGACGCACTTTCTGAAATATCTTCAACAACCTCTCGGAATGATTTGTCTTACTAAAGATTCTTACAAGAACCGCTTGATAATGAAGCAACAGTTCCTTCACATTTGTGCACACAGCCTATCGAATAACAGACCGAGTATTATTTGCAATGCATTAGAATTCCCAACCGTGCGCATAAACTTCTATCGAACCTTAAATATAAAACCTTCTTGTGATGTGTCGCCCTTTTGTGATTTCGGCATAATAAACTGTGATAAGAATCTAAAGCAGTTACCCCAATTAATAGCTTCTCGACAAACGTTTTTTAACGATTTCGAACTGGCGCCGTACACACTGATGTTTTCTCGTAAGGTAAACCCCGTCTATAAAATCCAAAAGAATTGCACGCATCTTGTCGCATTTAATCGGAAAATTTCAATTTTAACTTCCAAATCATCGATTCGATTACATACCCAGTCCGTGTAGTGAAAACTATTTGATTCTATTCCAAGTAACATTGACTTTACGTCGTTAACAAAGTCTTGTACGGAAACTTCTTCGAGAAGCAGTGCAGAGTTTATCGCCTATATTAAATAATTAAAAGAATTATTTGTACATATAAAATTAATTGATATTAATAGACTTGTAAATTCTCTACCTTTCCTGAGAGCAATGGTAAGCTACTCGTTCGTTTGATCGTTTCCAAATATACAGAAGCTGTTGATGTATCGGTCATAAACATTAGTTCCCGCGGATGTTGTATTTCCCCAAAGCGTTCCCATGTACGACGATGAAAGAAGAATGTGTCGTTTTCACCGATGTGTTTCCACTGCCAATTCCAACTATCCGCAGGATAGTCTAATTCATCGATAACGCTGTGATCGGAAGACTTCCAGGTACCTAGGAGACTTTCATTTTCTATGGCAACTGCTTCTGAACGAGACATCGGGAAATACGAATAGTTCGGTGAAAAGTCTTTTTCGCTAGAAAACGTGTACTTGGATTTCTCCTCGCGATCGTAAGTCTAAGGGAGAAAATCATTATAGAGGAATCGTATAATAGATATTGCATCTACACGAACGAAACTAATTCTCACCGCTATTTCTCGCGATAGATGCGGATCCACGGTTAAGCGTTTTAGATAACATTGATTCGAGGGTATCAATGTTTCGGAGACTTCTGTATCGAACGCATGAGCAGATATAAAGCCAGATGTAACGGATACACTGTAATAAATATATACGAACATGAAAATTATAGTAACAACGATAAAAGAAAAACTAAAGAAAATATTTCCTAGATAGCTCACTTTCTAGATTCTATTCCAACTGTGCCTTTAGACTTCACGATTCCATGCAAATAATGTAATTCGTTCATAACGGTAGTAGGCACGACGCGTGTAATCTGAAGCCTTTGAGTTTCTAATGTCGCTTCAAATTTGTCGGACAACATGAAACATTCCATAGGATATATTCTGAAAGATGTATTATCCCTGGCATATGTGATTTCGGGTACAGCAGGATTAGCTTTACCATAATAAAATATATTCTAGATACCATAAAAACAAAGTACATTAAGAAACAGCTGAAACTTCAAATCCTTTTTATAGTTTTATAGTTAATGTTTAACTTACCGTAATCGGCTCGGGAGCGATATTAAAATTTTTCAGCTGAACTAATAATTCTAGAACAGAATAAATAGATGCATTCGAGTAAGAATGCTCTTGAATTTCCTCCAATAGTTTCTCTAGCGTAGCAGCGTTACACGAATGGCTTAATCTTAGCTTCATTACAAAAATATGTTTCTGTATTTCTACTATTGGATCTATTTGTTTATGGTCCAAATAATCTGCCAAGAAAACACAACGAATAGGTGTAAATAAAATATTGTATCTCTAACATCCGAACGTTGACAACACACTTTATTTAAAAGTTTTCTCACCAACTTTCTTCAATAATATTTCAAAAGCTTTGCTTCGAAGATATTTGATTATTTTATTAGAGTGATCGTAAGTGAATAGAGCGTTACGATGAAAAGGCTGTCGATACGTTTCGAATATGTGTTTACTCAATTCGGTTAAAAGACCGTAAACATCGGTATCGTCGTCGGGATGCATGACGTTAATATTTTCGATAGTAATCAGAGATCCTAATCATCCACCGTAATACGAATGCACACCAGTCGAAATACGATCTCTCCTTTACACAATAGTAATCAATGAAATATAATGGATTTTAAATTGCGAATTAATACTTTGTTCCATTGGCATTAAATCGGATACATTCACGATTGTCGGTTAGTAACCGTTTTTGGTTGCTCTCTGGCTTCACTGGTTAGATTACAAGAATGTTTTAAACCGATGCACCGCTCTTGCGATTAGAAGCATAATGATAAACACAGTGGAAGAATACCACGTGCTCCATCTACGGATGAACAGTTAAAGTATTACCGTACAGACACAGACTTTAAGAACCGGAATATACCATATTTACTAGTTTGGTCAACTTTGGTCATTTTGCTTGATGTAGTTTTCCTATTCATTGTCCTCTAGATGTAGAGGGCAGAGCAAAACCTCGGATTTTTGACAGAGTCGGTAATTCAGAACATGTGACATGAAGTGATGTCAGTTGCGTCAGTTGTGCCAATACCACGTGTACTCCGCGTTGTTGGCGGGAATGCGGATACGAAGGAATACGGATCGCATTGGTCAATTTTCATCTTTTCCAGCTGTTCTCGCGAAAATGCGGCAGGCACTCTAGTGACATTCCCCTCGCGAAAAGTTACCTTCTCCATACTTACTTTGACGTGTTTGTATATCGAAGACTATACAGAATTGCTGACAGTACAGTCGGGCAGTCCCTCGAGTAGGGTAGTAGGGGAAACGCTGTTGCAGGGCAGGCTACCAGAAGGATAGTAATTAAAAGTAAGTTACAGTTTTGTTTTGTCTCGTTGGTAGCACTGAGTTTAAGATGGCGTTGAATAGTTAGTAAACAATAATACAAACAGTAAACGGTGCGCAAAGTGACCGGGCATTTTAGTGAATATGTCGGTACTTTTAATCGATTGCGTACGAAAAGTTTCGTCGTTAGTATTCAAAATTCAAATGTAGCCATTTATGCAACCTGTGTTTCTTTGAAAAGCAGTTAAATTCAAATTCTTATTAAACTGTATTGTGTATTTGAAAATACTCGCAGTGGTGTCCGTTGTGAAAGTTGAGGTAATTCGTTTATGTAAGTCATTTTTTTTTACATTATTTCTCCTCATTTTTTCAGTAATGTTAATAATTGATATTTTACAACCACTAACGTAGTTCTATTTCTTAGGAACAAATGATATAATGACGGAAGAAAATGCTGAAATTTGTGGATTTCTAGATGTTAAGTATCTCAGTGGTAAATATAAGGTTCATAAGGTAAGGAAAAGAACATTAGCTCCTTGGAAGGTTTGGCGGAGACATTGGTGTTCCATAAGAAGACTGGGCCCTGGTCTGGGTGTTAGAATACAACTTGATTATAATATCAGCAATGCTATTAATACGTCGCCAAATGACAAGGACAATTCGTTAATTATTCCATCCGATGCTATTATTTATCGGACGCAATCTAGATCTAAACAGTTTGCCTTTGGTATATTTCCTACCAAAGAAAGGAAGCCATTAATATACTTTGCAGGTAATTCAGAAACGGAATCGCAACGATGGATGGCAAATATTAGGCAACTGTTGAGACCCAGAAAAAGTCAGTTTATACCAGGATCTTATAGCGTATCTATGGTGGATAATGCGCATTCTAAGGCATCAGGACTTATCGGTACGCGAATGTTCTATTTATTAATGTCTAGCCTATAGTTTTAATTGTTGGAGTATACTTTTAATTGTTGTAATAATTCGATAGGACTGTACGGCGATTTAGTAGCTAGTACAAAAGGAGTTTTTATTAAAGACGCTCACTCGGGTGAAACCATAGAAACCTTTGATTGGAGAGAATTGGGACAGTTTCACCATAGTACAACAGGTCGTCCAGAAGATGTTAAATGCATTTGCGTAATTCATACAACTAAAGAGTTTCATGGTGGAGTAGGAGAACTTCATATATTTTGTTTAGAAGCTGGCAAATTGTTACAAGACTTGGTGACTCAAGGTCGTGGTCCGAGAGCTAAGCTCAATAGAAGACCTTTGAGTTTAAGCGAGGGTGATCTTAGAATATCAAAGTTTGAAGAGATCCAACGAAATTACCCAATCCTGAGTGAGCGAATAGATGTCAGGATATTAAACAAAAGTAGGAACAGTACCGTGGATCATGGAGAAATGGGTTCCAAGATCTACAATAAATTAGCAGAAAATGTTTATCAACCAGAACCATCGAGTGTTCCAAACATTACCGATAACACAAAAGAATGGTCGAATTATCCTCACGATAGAAGAATTTCAAATATTTCGGTAGCTTCTGGGATCTATGAAGAAATTGCAGATGAGGTGGAGAATGACAAAGCAACAACTTCGCATTTTTCCGTGGATCGATTTTTTCATAGTTTCGAATCCGAAGAACCTCCACCTTTACCACCTCGACAAAGATGTGCTTCGGAATCTATGAAAGGCTTTAGGTATGTATGTTGCGATTATTAAAGGCTAATATTTTATTAGATTTGAATCGTTGATTAACATTAATGTTACATTTGCTCTCCAGATCGCAAGATGTTTTAATTTCTGGGCGCGGTATTATATCGGTAACGTCGAGTCATAACCCAACTCAAGACGAAAGAAATACGTTTGCGTTAGAAAAAGATATAGACACCTGCAATTACGTTCCCATGTCGCCTAGACTAAAAGATATCAGTCTCCATCGTTTACAAACGCAGGCATCTCTGCAAGAAAATGACTATGTTATCATGCGATAAACTGTACAATGAAAGTCACGAGAATGTTATTCGAGCTACACAAATTGATACTTGATGTTTAGTGGATTGCACCTTCTCTCGTTTATTCTATTTCTTTTCAAGAGAAAAAGAGTGTGTGCGTGTGTGCGTGTAGGCGTGTAGGCGTGTAGGCGGCAAGGCAAGGAAAAAGAGAAAAATTGTGAAATTTAGATTTGAAAAAAACAAGTTGAACCTAGTGAGTATTACTTCAAGTATAAATAAAGTCTAAACAGGAGAGACGAATGGTTCGGTATACAAACAAAAGCTTAGATGTTTATTTGTACAAAACTTTGTATACTTTATTCAAATTAAAAAATTTGTACATGAGACTATCGTTTTCAGAAGGATATACTGGAGCGTATTATCAAAGTGTTTTTTTAATTAATCCGTTGATGTCCGTTGATACTTTGATCCTAATCCTTGATTGGTAAAAATATCGAATTCTTCGCGATTTAGAAGGGCTCCTCGCACGTCGTCCAAAACTATAACCTTCGGATATCTAGAAATCAAAGAAAAAGATTGTCGTAACATCGTGCACGTACACAATAGAATCTACAAGTAAATCTCGGACGAGGAAGGAATATTTACCCGTTATCGCATCTTTCCCAAGCTTTTGCCAAAGACATTCTGATCAAGTCATCCACGAGACATTCGATAGCCTGAAAATGGAATAGATTTAATAAGCAAAAGATTAGCAGCAGCAATGGTGGAAAGAGAGGGAAATATCTTACTCTCATTATCATTCTACCAGCTGCGCAGTATACCACTTGAGGTAGAATTTCTTCAGGATTCAATTTCACGCCTATTTCTCTTGCCGTTTCGCATACGAAATCGTAAAATGAGGTTGATTTCGCTTCCATTTCTAATACAGCAACTTTAGTATTCGAAAGGTTGTTACTGTTCGCCTGCTTTGCTACACTCGTTTCAACTTCTTCTCTAATTTCCACTGTTGTTTTATTATCGTTCATGATATCCACCTCGACATCGTGCTCATTAAACTGTTGCAGATTAGCGTCGAACCAGTGATTGGGCGAACGGCTCGGATATATTTGAAGCCATTTGCAGAAAGCATCAGGTTCCGAGCATGTGAATGTAGTTTTGGTAGCGACGGTGGCGGAATCGGATAGATTCTTCGGTCGCTTCGCGTCTCGAGCGAACAAGCCCGAACGAAAAGGCGTGTAACCGTGGAGTCGCGTCCAGATTAATATTTCTTTGACAGTCCATAATTCTTTCTCCGGCAATGACTTGTTCTTCAACATGGATCGTATAATCTTTGCTCGACTCCATTCACAGGCGGTTCGTTTCGCGATGCTATATTCGAAGAATTCTTTGTCGGTAACGCACGCGTAAGGATGGAACTGCTTGTAATCCGAATCGGAAGCGTCCTGAGTGATCATGGGCATTCGTCTGACGATGAATTTCAACAGGCCTTGGATATTTGAAATGTTTGCGGCATCGATCGCGCGAAATACTTTGTAGCAGAATTCCTTCTTGCTCTGCAGTTTGTATTTGTCTTTACCCAAGGTGATCCTCTGCCGTGGTTGCGGTTGCGATTCCGAGACCGACTGTAGTTCTTTCGACTCTTCAACCTTGATCCTATCATTCTCCGTTCTCGGTGTGCATTCCTCGGCTGCCGATTCCTTCTGGGCACTAGGAACACGATCCTCCTGCACGGTTTTCCTTTCGGCTATTTTTAACGCAGGCACGTTAGAATTGACGTTTAGGAGAATACTCTTTGAAAATTGAAGCTTGAGGCCTTGTCGAGTTTCAGCACCGTCCAATCCGAAGCTCGACGGTTTCTTCAACAAACTGATACCACGGGTCGCGGTTAAAGTCATTTTCTTTTCGTTGCTCGGTTTATGAGAGTGATCTTCGTGCCGTGGAATCGCTATGTCTACCGGTATTGTCCTATTATTCTGGAGAACCAAGACATGTTTGTTCGACGACTCGAATAACGGTGGAATTGATATTTCTAAAGGGCAAAGATTCAATTGAAGCTTCGAACAAGAAGATGGGAGAGCTTTCGTTCTGTTTTCCTCGAACTGATTTAAGAACAGAGGCGCGACCAAGCTTGTTTCGTCTTTTATCTTGATGCTATTCTTTTGCTCGAGCTTTCTTTTCGAGACTTCGTTCGATCTTGAAGCCACCGATAAGTGATCGACGGTCGAGTTTCCGTCTAGAGAATTCATCGAGCCGCAGTAGTCGTGGTCAAGATTCACATAAAATCGCAATCGTTTGTTACTCATTGTACCATCCTCGATCTCTTCTGCTGGCTTTTCATCGATGATCATATCGAAAATTTCACTCGCCGAATCCGTTAATTTATTCTCACCGTTGTTGTTCGCGAATAACTCGGAACTGGAAAGTTCGTTGATTCTCCCTTTGATCCTACTTGCGCTATCATCGGCGTGCATTTCAGCTTCGGGTTCGTTGCTCCGACTTACAACAGACTGAACAGCCGTTCCATCTATGTTCCGTTTGGAATTTCGAGGATCCGCGTAGATCCATATGTCAACCAGAGTTTCGGATCCTAAAGTCTGCAAACCGGTGTAAGTGCGATCTAACTTTAAATGATGAATTATGTCCATAGGTTTGTTCAATGCACTCTTAAAATGTAATTGTACCCTCAACGGGAATTCACCCCAACCGCGTCTCGATAGACAAAACGGTGGCGCTGTAACTTCCACAACATCGTTAGGCCTATAGCTAGGGTGTAAAAAGAACCTGACCTTGCCGACGAAATTATCGATGTCAGGATTTTCCTTATTCCCCCGGACGTACATCGTCCATTTGTGACTAGCCGCGTCTTCTCTCCATTCGGGGGGTATCCATTTTGAAATATTTCCAATGATTATGCGCTTCCTGGTTTTATGCCTGATACCTCTCGAGGGACAGGGGGGCTCTGGAATTCCAGATTTCGGTGGAATATATCGCGGTATTTTCTTTGGCCGCGACTGTTCGTCGGTTTCATCTTTTATCTTCCTTGAGCGATCGTCTTCGCAAACATCTTCGTTTTTAGACCGTTTCAAATTTAACGCCGAATCGACGACCGTGTTCGAGGAACACGTCGAATACGAATACGCACCGACGAAATCGTTCGCGCTGCTCGATGCGGTAGCCGATGTCGAAATCAACAAACCGTCGCATTCCTTTGGCGACTTACCGATCAATTCTTTTATCGCGGGATGAATTTGAGTCTGTTTCGCTTCCCCATTTTGCGAACTCTGACACTGTTTGCGATTATAAAAGTCTGCGACTATTACGTACCGTAAAAAATGCAAAGCTTTCGATGCCCTGTGCAATCTATCTTGTATTTCTAATACTTCTTTCTCTTTTGTATTTATTTCTTGAGAAAATTCTTTTTCGATAATAGCTGTTATCTTCTTCGCGGTATTGCTTCTAGCTGAAAATGAGAATAATGTTTAATACTGTGTTTAATATCGCTTTTCATCCAATTAATTTTTGGCAATATTTTGCGGGGAACAAATAATTCTGATACAAAGTGTTCCATAGACACGGTGACGACATAACAAATTGTGTCGGGTTAAGAGGTAGTACTTTTGAATAAAACATCTTCTAAGAACTGGTAAACTAATAGCTGTTAAATTACCGTTTTCTTCATAAATTCGTTGATGCTTCTCATTATTTGCAACGGAGGGCCCGTAGTCGGGATCGTGATCTTTCAAGGCACTCATTTACCATACTCGATTTCGAACAAATAACTTAATTAAACAGTGCTACGCACGTAACGTTTGCCAACGTGTAAAGATAATTCTTTACGCATTAGCAAAATGTACTTTTGTCGTTAATAATATCAGCTTCTTCGCAATAATGCGGGCAATCGTTTAAATAACCTACATACTTTCCATCCGAATAGGTACTCGAGTATGTACTTGTATAACATTCATATAAATAGACGCTAAAGAATAGATTTTCTAGAGGAAAAATATTTAAACGAAAAGAATGAATTTCATCGGGCGCATGAAACTTGTAATGTTTTCAGTGATAGTTGACACACTGTACAGTTCTGAATGTGGGCAAACATTCGCGAGCACATGCGTACTTTAATACACGTATTGCACTAAACTGTTGGTTTCACTAAAAATATAATATTATCAAGCACGTAAATAAGTATATGCTCGTTCGAAAAGGATCACAGTTCACAGTGGCGCACAAGTAGGTATGCAAGGACGTGTGTAACAAATATGCTCCCGACCTCTCTAGGAGCTTTACCTAGAGCGTCCGCACAGTTGAACAGCCCTGCTATGCAACTTCATAGACCAGGGATGTCGAACTGTTTCCCCTCTAGCTAGTGATTCTCGATCGGCAGTTCTCCTTCTATCGTTGCTCTGGAATCTAGCCGAAAGTAAATGTAAGTAAATAGTAGTTGGCAACTATTTACTCGGCGCATCGTGCAGTTTCTACGGTGCTCTGTACGAACAGGTGAAAGTAGGTACAGTGTGTAGAGGGTAACTTCCCGCAAGGGGAAAGACCCTAGAAAACTGACGAGCTCTCAGTTCGACAGCCCTGCGTTATACGGCGGTACGGGTTTAGTTGGAGTTACTCGCTTATTCAGGTTCTCGCAAGTATTCGCGCAGGGATTTTAGGAATGTTGCGATAGGGAGGTTATTGTACGACAGATTGGTAGCATTAACAGTCTGGCAATGTGTGTAATTGTAGTCATGGCTGTCTGACAAAACATTCGAAGTAAGAAGAATTAATGTAGTGGTTGATTATCGGAACTATTATGTCGTGTTTGTTAGAAATTGTAACGTTGTCCTGATTCGAATCACGGGTACCTTCTCGATACCGGATCGAGCGTGAGATTCCATCAAATTCTTTGTGTTTGAGAAAGACTCGGTAGGTATCGTTCGGAATAATAATAAATAAGTGGATAAGGATTGCGTTCGGAAAGGAAGTACGGAGTCCAAGGTGCGACGAGTGCGGTTTCGCGAAGCGTTCTTCTCAAATCTTCTCGAACAAGCGTCGTGCCTAACAACTATCAACGACGATCGATTACGCAAGATGACCATTCTGTCGAAGAAGAAGACGAACGCCTCGAAAGATAGACGAGAAGGAGGCAGCACTTCCGAAGTCGATGTTCACGGAGTGCAAAATGAGCATGGCACTGGATCCATTGCACTACCCAATAGCCCATATCAGGTGAATGAACAGTACTTTGGCTACTTTGTAACCGTGGTATCAATTTCATAGTAGCGCCGACAACGAACCTTAAACGACCTTTTGCGAACCATGACAGGTACGTGCAGCGAACGGTTTCGCGGTCGATCTTCACGGGGTTCAGACCGATCACGGATCTGGTTCTATAGTCCTTACAGGTAGTTCTTACGAGGTAAGGAGTAAAATAGGTTCTCACGACCTATACGCGAACTAACTACACCCGCCTTGAATTTTTATGTTAATTACCATCCTCATTACTATTCGCAATTTAATCATTTCTGAGAGTTCTATTTATATGCCTGCCGAATGGAATAATATTTTCACAAGCGACACTCTTATCGTAGACAAGCGTCGACCGACGAGAAGATAAACATTTCGAAGAAACAGGTGGGCCGAGTCATGGGAAACGTCACAGGCAAAGGGCAAGCCCGCACAGGTATACGCTATTCGTGTTTCTAAGTAGACGATTTACATAGGATTTTTCCCATTCTCGCGTGACATTAAAAAGTTTGTACTCGACGAAATGATTTTCTTTTCAGCGGTTGCATCGGACGAAATTCGCGTTCTAAGCGCGAAAGAGAAAGGGATAGGGGTAGAGAGAGAGACAGAGAAAGAGAAAGGGAACGCGAAAGACAAGCTACCCCGCCGACTGCTTCTTGTAGCGGTTCGCAAGGTACTTATCGTATAGCGGAAACTGTATAACGTAGATATAAAATGAAACGGTTATTGGCCATAGTCGACCAAGCTTCGCATAATTCAATTTCTTCAGCTACAGATGCCAGTGTAATAACCAACAATAGGATGGGTATTGTTGGAGCAGCTGCTAATTTAGAGCATGAATTAGCGAACGGATACAATAGCGGGGATGAATATACTGGTAGAACCGGGAATAATCTTACTTTAGCCGAGTGGCAAGAGGTCGGTGTAGCCTATTTTATTATTACTGTTGTTTTTGTTTTTGTTTTTGTTGTCGTTGTCGTTGTTTTTGTTGTTGTTGTTGTTGCTGTTGGTGTTGTTGTTGTTATTGTTGTTATAATAATTATAAAAATATCAAGTATCTCTTTGTTGTACTTAGCGGGATAGGTGGTTTGAAAAGCGAATGCGGAAAATGGGCTTTATCGTTAAAAAAATGGGCGAAGATGGAGCATGTTTGTTCAGAGCAGTTGCGGATCAAGTATACGGTGATCAGGAAATGCATGGAGTGGTGCGGAAACATTGTATGGATTATATCGTAAGTATGGAATAGACGAGGACGACTAGTTACGCTTTAGAAATATCCTGTATTATTCGTGAGTTTGACGAATTCGTTTTGACCTTCCAGGCTTCGAATCAAGAGTTTTTTTCGCATTTTGTAGCGGAAGATTTTAGCACATACGTAGATAGAAAACGACAAGAATACGTTCACGGAAACCACATAGAAATGCAAGCAATGTCTGAAATGTATAACCGTAGCATACAGTTGTACTGCTACAGCACGGGTATGTTTGAATGGTTCGTTTAGCAGGCGTACGCGTGCGTATGGTAAATAATGTTGAATTTTTCGACTATTTCCCACATAGAACCAATCAATATCTTCCATACGATGGTGGAAAGCGATAATGAGCCCATACGATTGTCCTATCAACGCGGTAGTCATTACAATAGTATAGTAGATCCGTATAAAGCTACCGTCGGTGTCGGGCTTGGTCTACCGTCGTATAATCCTGGTGCAGCGGACCGGCAGCTTATATCCGATGCAGTACGTCAAAGCGAAGAATTACACATTGAACAGGTAGATTTTCACCGAGTAATAGTAATAGTAATAGTAATAGTAATAGTAATAGTAATAGTAATAGCAATAGCAATAGCAATAGTAATAGCAATAGTAATAGTAATAGCAATAGTAATAGCAATAGTAATAGTTAATGGTAATGTTACAACTTTGAACGTTGGCGCAGACGATGCTCGAAGATAAAATAAAAGCAACGGACTGGGAAGCAACGAACGAGGCCATAGAGGAACAAGTTGCGAGAGAAAGTTATTTGCAATGGTTGAGAGACAACGAAATGCGCAAAGCGGTAAGTGTACGTATAATTTCAATCCGCTAACTACTAGAAATCTGAAAAGATTGACTCGTGCTTTTTAAATAAAGCGATCAGCCAGTAGTAGCAGTACAAGTACGGTGACAAGCGCGCAACACAGTCATACGCATTTCCATAATCATGGAAGTCGTGGCCAACAACGTAGCCACACTTCTTCCCCAACCACGACCCAAACTAGCCAAGACACTTTACGTAATTCTCCGAAGGTCTGTTTTACGCTGGTTAAACGTTCCGAAACCGTACGTTGGATATCCGCGTTGAGAAGGTAATCGATTCGATGAACAATTTATCAGGTGAACGATACAGTGAGGTACGGGAAGAGGTCGCCTCAGCATCAGTCGACGCAAGGGTCCGCGATATCTCATCTCACCTCTGACTTTGAGCCGAAGATGTCTCAAGAACCCGTGGCAGGCAGCAGTAAGGAAGCTCACGCCTCGCCGGATATCTCGTTGTTCAATCGTCTTCCTCCCGAGGTGTTTGGTAGGTTGCGTTACTTTATCTAATAGCGGTGTGCGTCGTCTGTCCATCCAAGTAGCAGTAAAAACTAAGAGTACGTTTCTTTGCAAAAAGGTTTAACCGATTGGGAGGACAGTCATGTGCTTTCACAAGTTTTGGCTACGTCGCAACAGGAATATCTGGACAGCTTGAAACAATCTCGAAGTTCTACATCCTCCGGAAACGATACTAATAATTTATTAGATTCTAGTAACAGTTAATTCTTAAAGCCGTTATCGATAAAGTTTAAATGAATACCGAAGCAAAATATGTGCATTTGTATGCAGCGTTTTTCATAGGATGTGGTATATCCGAAAAGTCAGGTAGTTCTAAATAAAAAATGAAGCAATTCATAGAGTCACGCTAGACGATTAATTGCTAAAAATCATTAATAATTGCGCTGAATG